ATAGCCATCACTCAAAAGCAAAACCCCTTATCCATTAAGCAGTTTCTTCCTGCTCCCCTCTACACCCCAGGCCTGGAGCCCCCAATCTGTGTTCTATCTCTATGGATTTATCTGTTTTGAATATTTCATATAAATGGGATCATTCGGTGGATCACCTTTGTGTCTGACTTCTTTTCACTTAGCAAAATGTTCTCAAGTTTCATCCAGGTGGTAGCGTGTATCATTCCTTCATTCCTTATGATTTAATAAAGATTCCACAGTGTGTGTATACGACAGTTTGTTTATCTGTTCATCCATTGATGGATATTTGGACTGTTCCCACCTTATGGCTATTATGAACACTGCTGCTATGAACATGGGTATACATGTAAGTGTTTAAGTATCTGCCTTTAATTATTTTGGGTATATATAGGAGTGGAAATTTGAAATCTTATGGCAATTCTATGTTTAACTTTTTGAGGAACAGCCAAACTTTTCTGTAGTGGCTGAACCATTTTACATTACTGCCAGCAGTGTACAAGAGTTCCCATTTCTCAATTCCTCATCAATAGTTGTTAAGTTTACATTTTTAACAAGTTATGGCCATCCTGGTGGTTTTGAAGTGGTAACTCATTGTGGTTTTGATTTACATTTCCCTAATGAGATGCTGGTGGCTCAGATGGTAAAGCATCTTCTTGCAATGTTGGAGACCCAGGTTCAATCCCTGGGCTGGGAAGATCCCCTGCAGAAGGAAATGGCAATCCACTTCAGTACTCTTGCCTGGAAAATCTCATGGACGGAGGAGCCTGGTAGGCTGCAGTCCATGGGGTCCCAAAGAGCTGGACACGACTGAGCGACTTCACTTTAATGCTGATGAAGTTGGGTGTCTTTGTGTGCTTATTGGCCGGTTGCATATCTTCTTTAAAGAATGTCTTCTCAAATCCTTTGCCCATTTTTCAAGGGATTTTTTTGTGTGTATGTGTGGTTGAGTTGTAAATGTTCTAGACCATTACCAGGTATATGATTTGCAGATATTTTCTCCCATTTTATATAATGCCTTTCACTTTCTTGTAATGTCCTCTTATGCAGAAAATTTTTAATTTTGATGAAGTCTGGCTTATCTGTTTTCTCTATTGGTGGTCCTGCTTTTGGCCCATGATTATGAAGATTTACTCAAGCTTTCTTCTATGAATTTTATTGTTTTAGCTCTTAGATATAAGTCATTGATAGATCCACTTTTAGTTAACTTTTGTATATGGTGTGAAGTAGAGGTCTGACTTTATGCTGCTTTTTATAACTGCTATAAAAACTATTCATTTAATTCAGGACTTCCTTGAAATGTGTTGTTAGAGGTAGGATGGAGCAGATTTTGCTGAACCCTAAATCCTAGTGATTCAGTGATCTTTTTTTTTTCGTACTGCACTACTCTGTCAGATGTCTTGGGGACTTTGGTTCATGGTATCTTTACTCAGGGATGAAAGCTGATAAAGGTCACTGTGGACCTCTTATGTTCAAACTCTCTAAGGTCTCTACTTGGACATAATTCCATTGACCAAAGCAAGTCACTTAACCATGTTGAGCTTAAATGCAATCCTGCCTGTTGCCCAGAAGGAGAAAGAAAAGAAAGTAAGTGGTGCACAATGACTATAAGAGAATGCAACTGAACATGTGATTGCAACATATTTGAAGTATTTGTTCCAAGATACACAATTTTAAAACATTCCCATTTAAGGAGGTTGTAAGTTTTCCATAAAAGAACATGGTAAAGCATCATTGATTCAAGATTTGAAGTGAATTTTATACTGTTTACTGAAGTTTACTTTTACGTTATTTGTAAAGAAAAAATTATTAAGTGATAATATGAGATTTAATGACGGGAATTTTGGTTTAATTTATAAAACAGTTTTCAGTTAGTTTAGAAGGAAGTGTTCATACTCAAGGAATTTGGGTACAGATTGTTTATTAAAACTTTTCTATGTCAAATTTGTGAAAAAGAAGGACATAATAGTAATAATAGTTTTGCAAGGCACTTTAAGATTATTGCTCTTAACGTATCAGGATTTTAAAATTTGAAAACATTAAAAACTTAATAGACTGAGTCCTATTTGTGTGGCTCTGTAATCCAGCATTAGAGCTTAGTTGCCCTGTGTGTTAGTACTTAGTTGTGTCCGATTCTTCATGACCCGTGGACTAGGACCTACCAGGCTCCTCTGTCCATGGGATTTCCCAGGCAAGATTTCCCACTGGAGTAGGTTGCCGTTCCCTTCTCCAGGGGATTTTTCTGACCCAGGGATCACACCTAGGTCCCCAGCATTGCAGGCAGATTCTTTACCATCCGAGTCACCTGGGAAGCTCCTTAGTTACTCACAGAGTAAAAACAATGTTGATGTTAATATATAGAGATCCAGTCTCTTACCTATTTTTCATAAACTGTGGAAATAGGAAAATTAAAATACACAGTGTTTCTCATATTATTTAGTTTCATTGCTAAAATGTACCACTAGGAAGCAGAGAATGATATTTTATAACACCAGTAGATGTCAGCCACAGGCTATGCAGCAGGCTGATTCTTTACCAGGCTTTTTGTTTTTTTTTCTTTTTTGAACCCAGCATCTTAATGAGCTGCCAATTTTCTCAAGGTTGGTGTGCTTATTTTTAAATTAAAACACAATGTACTTACTAGCAAAAATATAGTGATGTGGTAATGGCAGCAGAAACATTATTCAGTGCTTAATTGTGTGTGTAGGTAAATAGCTCACAGGGTAACTGGTTGGTCATGGAAAATTGCAATACTGTCTGGTAAGACCCAAGAAGGAATCTGTAAAGAATGACCATGGGTCCTATGATTAGCCAGATATGGTATTGATATTATAGCAGATCAAACTAGGTGAGGTTATAATAGTGCTTCTTTTCCAGACAAGCCTTTCCTTTTTAAGAGGAACAGCCAGAAAGCTTCTTACCTCTCCTGTCCCACCCCCTCAGTGCTTTAGTTTGCCTGGGATGTCTTGTAAGTATCCCCACAAGTGGAAATGTATATTCCTCTTACTGGGGGAGAAAGCAGTAATAAAAGAAACATTTTGGAGACTTGGATCCAAGAGCAGCACTCAAGGAAAGACTTGTCATGAAGGACCTTATTGCAGATATTGATGTCAAAACATGGGGGAAAAGGAGTGAATCACAGCTTCAGCATTTGAAAACTAAAAGTGATTTTATCAAAAGTGGAAACTTAATAAATGTTTCACTGACTTTAAAACAGTATTCATATTCAGTGCTATTTGCTTATTATGAAAGTGTGAGGGTTAATATGTATGTAAGTAGCTTGGGATACTGTTGCTAAGTAAATACATCAGTATGCCAATATGAAATTAACTTTGTCTCCTTGATTAAAATAAACCATAGTGTTCAAAATTTAAAAAAAATAGTTTTTCCTCAGTATAAAATATAAGACCCTAGTGAACTGCTCCTTAGTACTCTCTTCAAAATTATATACCTTTATTCTCTGTGGCCCAGATATACCAGAAATACCAAACTAATGGCATTTCTCTTATTGAGTGTTTAGAACCTAAGTTACATATAATGTGATTGATTCCTCAATTGTGTAGCAATTTATATAGTACATTTTAAAATTTAATTTTTAAAATTTTAAAAGGCATGTATGCTTATTAGTAAAGATTCAGATGATACAAAAGTAGATGGAGAATAACAGCACTGTCCTTTTCCTAATGATAATCACTGTTTCTAAGCTCCTGTAAGAAAAATTACTTGTTACAAATCTAAAAATTTATAGTTCCCTGAACTTCTAATTTTCTATTGACACAATTATTTTTATAAGTGCTTTTGAAATGTAAGATTTTGTCATGAGTGCTGCTAGGCAGCTACAGTAGAACAAATTGTGTTTGTGATTTCTTAAACACACCTGTCTGTCTTTGGTCTTTTCACATGTTGATTCGTGTGCCTAGAAAGCTAACCAGAACACTCCTCTTCCCTACTCCATGGCAGCCTTTGGTAGTTATGTCTTTCAAGCCTCAAGTTAGTCATAATTTCTTTTAAAAAACCATTCCTGATTCTTCGTTATTGATATCTAGCTTAATTCTACAGTATGTTTTAGTGTAGAATAAAAAAAAAATGTTACTCCTGACTCAGTGTGCTCTTTCAGTCTTAACAACTCCTGTCTTTGTGTGTGTGTGTGAGAGAGAGAGAGAGATGCAGGCTGACTTTCAGTTACTTACAGGAGGCTTTTCCTCCTACCCAGGGCCTATCCCCATCTCCCTTCCCCTCCTCCCGTGGCCTGCTTCCTGTACCTGTTGCATCACACTCCTGCTCAGAACTTAGAACCTGGTCCAGATGTGACCTCCCTTAGACCACCTGAGCTCCAGCTTACTCTGTTTATTCTGAGTTTAGTTATGTCTTGGTGTCTGGCCCTCTGCAACTTCAGTTCTTTTCTCCTCAGGAGTAGTTTGGGATTTTGGTTTGACAAGGGGTTGGTATTATTATTTTTAGGGCTACTGTAATGAATTACACAGGCTAGGTGGCTTAAAATAGCAGAAATTTACTGTCTCACAGTTCTGGAGGGCAGAAGTTCAAAACCATGGTGTTGATTGGGTTGGTTCCTTCTTGTGGCTTTGAGAAAGAGTCTCTTCCTTTCTCTGAGCTCACAGGGGCGGGGCGGGGTGCTTTGCTAGCTGTGTTCTTTGGCTTTGTAGCTACATCCCTCCCACCTCTGACCCCAGCATCACATGGTGCTATTCCCTCTGTGTCTGTTAAAACATTTTTATTTCTTCGGTGACTATGGAATATGAGATCTGGTTTCTCCAAGGGATGTGGATTTTAAGTGTTCAGATGTATACATTTAAATTGTAGTTTGATCTACATAAGCATTAACCCAGACCTGCTGATGTATTATTTTCACATTTTCTCAAAATTTACAGCCCTTCAAAAGGTAGTACTTTGTATTTAAGCTGTTTAGAAATGTTTATACATTTTTCAAAAATAAAATTTAATTCTGAGTTTTTAATTTTCAGCCAGAAAACCTTGCTCAGAAGCTTCCAAACCTTGTGGAACTGTGAGTCTGTTTATTACATTTTTTTTTAAAAAAAGAACAAGAATGAACATAATTTTAAGTTATTTTAAATAATAGGGAATATTTTACTGTATTAATTTATTATTTTTTGGTATTGTGATCATGGTGCTCATGTAGGTAGACCTGTGGTTCTGCTAAACCCAATAGTATTTTAAAGTATCTTACCATTTACATTTATGTTTTGAATATCTCACTTCAGGGTAGTAAAGATGATAAAAGATAAATTTTTTTTCTTGCAGCATCCCGGTCACAGAATCCTTCTGGGTAGTCCATGGAATTGGGAGTATTAGGCTCCCCAGTTGGCACTAGTGGTAAAGAACCCACCTGCCAGTGCAGGAGACATAAGAGGCATGGGTTTGATACCTGGGTCAGGAAGATCCCCTGGAGAAGGAAATGGCAACCCACTTCAATATTCCTGCCTGGAAAATCCATGGACAGAGGAGCCTGGAGGGCTACAGTCCATGGGGTTGCAGATTGGGACACAACTGAAGTGACTTAGCATGTGATTGTTAGTATTGCTACTACTGCTACATGTGCTACTGATATAAATAGCCTGATGGTCTAAAAGAGTTAAAATATAGAGTAAAAGCCTCCTTCCCTATGTCCTTCATTTGTTTTAGTTCTTTTTATGATTACCTCCATAATACCTCCATAATGTATCTTTTTAAAATGCATTTACACCTTTGTTTTTAGTATATCAACTTTATCTCTTGACTAAGGAAGGTGAATTTCCTTATCTTGTATTTCCCTTTCTTTCTACCTGCCTCCTAATTTTGTTGAGGGAGGAATTTGCATCACCTTTTCTTGTTCTTTTTATCATTTGGCATGATTTTCAGGAGGTAAATTAGAGAGAGTTAACGTTACACCTTCATCTATAAGCCAGGAGTCTCTGTAATTTTACCTAACCTTTTATTTTTGAAAAATTTCTGACCAACAAAAAAGTTGGAAGCATAGTACAATGAACATCCATAGAGTTGATCTAATATGGAGGTTAGAGATGCCACCCTCTCATAGTTGAAAATCCAGGTATAACTTTATAGTCAGTCCTCCATTGTTTTGCCAAAAGTTTTCACTTTTGTCTCAGGTTCAAAGGATTTGTTAACAAAATAAGCCACTTGTTCTATCAGTTCAGTTCAGTCGTGTCCTACTCTTTGTGACTCCATGGACTGTTGCATGCCGGGTTTCCCTGTCCATCACCAACTCCCGGAGATTACTCAAACTCTTGTCGATTGAGTTGGTGATGCCATCCAACCATCTCTTCCTCTGTCATCCCCTTCTCCTCCTGCCTTCAATCTTTCCCAGCATCAGGGTCTTTTCCAGGGAGTCAGTTCTTTGCATCAGGTAGCCTAAGTATTGGAGTTTCAGCTTCATTCAGCATTAGTCCTTCCAGTGAATATTCAGGACCGATTTCCTTTAGGATGGGCTGGTTGGATATCCTTGCAGTCCAAAGGACTCTCAGGAGTCTTCTCCAACACCACAGTTCGAAAGCATCAACTCTTTGGCCATCAGCTTTCTTTATGGTCCAACTCTCACATCCATACATATACTCGTTCTACACAAATAAATAATAACCAATATTTATTAGAGAATTATCTAGCTTAATTTCAATATACTAGCATTAAAAGAAAGGGAAATAGAAACAGCAGAGAATACATCACCAAATTGAGTTTTCACCAACATCCAGACTCAAACAGTACTGGAAAGTCCTGTGACACAGCACGTTGGGAGTCTCAATTGGGAAAATGTCCCAGGCAGCATGTCCGCTCTGTGGGTGAGACTTTAGAGATCACAGTTCGGGTTCCCACTTACAATCCCAGGATGCAGTCATCAAACTGTGAGCAAATAGCAGCTCTGATTTCATGTTAATGCATAGAACTTGGAATGTTTTTAAACCTGGGGCTTGGTTGGCCAGCTCCCCTCCAGAGGCTCAACAATCTCAAGATTCATCCCCTGTTTCACCTATGATGCTGCCAGTCTTGCATTCACAGAAGACAGTCACTCACAGTCAGGGCAGTGTCCAGGCAGGTTAGAAGCAAGGTCAGAGGCCTGCTCTGATTTGTCTCTGAAGCCTAAATAAGACTTTTTAATTTCCCTAACATCCATATCCACAGTTCACATCTGTGGACTCACCCAACCTTGGATGGTATTGTAGTTAATAGAAATTTGTTGAAAAAAAATCAGAATGTAATTGGACCTGTGGACTTTAAAGCCTCTTGTTCAAGGACCAATGGTACAGGCCTCACCTGAATGTGACCAGTTAACATTTTACTGCATTTCCTTCCTCTTTTTCCCCCTTCTGCTCTCTCTTTACTCCCCCTCTTTCCCTCCTTTCCTTTCCTCTCTCCCACTCTCTCACACACAAATTGCACACATTATAGTGTGTGTGTGCGTGCGTGCACTCAGTTGTGTTCGACTCTCTGTGGCCCTGTGGACTATATAGCCCACCAGGCTCCTCTGTCCACGGAATTTTCCAGGCAGAAAATACTGGGGTAGGTTGCTATTTCCTACTTTAAGCAGTCTTCCCTGACTAGGGATCGAACCCACGTCTCCTGTGTCTCCTGCATTGGCAGGTGGATTCTTTACCATTAGTGCCACCTGGGAAGCCCCTGTGTATCTAAGAATAAAGACATTCTTTCACATAATTTTATTACTTTTAGGTCTAAGAAAAGTAGTATTAATTCAATAATATCATTTAATATACAGTTCATATTTAAATTATCCAAATTTCCCCTCAAGATTTTTTTTTTAAGGTAGATGTCTGGATTTTTGAAGTAGATGACTTGTTTGATTGTTTCTTCTGGACTAGGTTCACTTTAAATATCTTCAGTGATGTTCTTCCCTATTTGGTTTATCAAGTTTTTGTTTTCATTCTCTTTATATATGTGTGTATTTTTTTTTTCTGAAGTGTGGTTTTTCACCCCTAACTAGTTTAGTATATATTTCTAAGAACAGGAATGTATTAACATTTTTTAGCCCTACTTTTCTATCCTTAATAGATAACTTTATATTTTTCTCCATGTAGGTTTTGAACATTTCTAATAGTTTTTTTCCTAAATGTTTAATTTTTTTGCTGTGTAAATCTTTCTTATCTGTTATGTCTTCTAACTGGGTAATTTTTGTTTATAGGAGCACTATGGTTTTTTGCATATTAACTTTATATCATGCTCCTTCCCGAAATCTTCTATTGTTTGAGTTAGTTTTATCATTGATTCTCCAGAGTTTTCCAGGTATACATTACTCTCATGTCTGAAAATACAGTATTTCTTCTTTTCCAAATCTTTATTTTCTCTATTCTGATTGCATTGGCTAGTCCTTCTCCAGAGCAGTGTAAAATTGTATTTGAGGTAGTAGGCATCCTTGTCTTCTTTCAGACCTTAGTGGGAATATCTCTAGGTTTTCTCCACTAAGAAAGATGCTGGCCTTACAGTTAACACAATTCTTATATGTTAAGTAAATATCCATCTGTGTTAATAATCTCTTGCTGCTCAACGGATTATCTCAAAATGTAGTTGCTTAAAATGTAGGGGTAGTTAAAAGAATAAACACTTATTCTCCTGTATTTTTTGAAGGTCCAGAATCTGGGCTTGGCTTAGCTGGATCCCTTTGCTTCAGTGTCTCTCTCAAGGCTCTAATCAAGATTGTTGCCCAGGGCTGCCGATTGACCTGAAAGCTCAACTGAGTAATTATCCTATATCTGTGTTCACTCATATGGTTGTTGGCAGGATTCAAACAATTCCTCGCAGGTTGTTAGACTGAGGGCATCAGTTCCTAGCAGGCTGTGGGCCAGAGAACTCCCTTAGTTCATCACCACTTAGCCTCTATTATGTAGCTCACAACATGGCAGCTGACTTCGATCAGAGTGAGCAAGTGGAAGAGCACGCGAGGCTATGTGAGAGGGGAGCCCTTGTCCCTTTCTAGTCTAATCATGGAAGTGGCATCGCATCACTGTTGCTCTGACACTCAAGGGGAGGCCGTTACGCAAGACCTGCATGCTGAGCAGCGGGGACCACCGGGGGCCATCCTAGATGCTGCCTACCACACTATTAATTCCTATTTTCTCAAGAACTTTTTTATTAGTAATGGGTGTGATGTTTTTTCAAAAGCTTTTTCAGACTTTAAATCTCATGGAAAAATCCTTGAGGCCTTCAGGCAAAAAGGTGAACCAGTCATGAAGATGAAGAAGATTGCAACATAAGACTCCAAACTAAATTATCTACACAATGGCAGTTGAATTCTGGATTGACAGTTTTTATTTATTTGAGCTTTTTGAAAGTATTTGACTATCTTCAGATCTCCATAGATTCTCATAAGAAGTCAGTGGAATTTTCATCATTCTCCACATGTGTGTAATATATCACTTTTCTCTGACTTCTTTGAAGATTTTCTTTTGATCTTGACTTTTAGCAATTTAACTGTGATGTGCCTTGGTATAATATTCTTTGTGTTGGAATTTGCTGAGCTACTTGAATCAGTGAATTTATGTCTTTTACCAAATTTGGGACATTTTCAACCTTTATTTCTTCAAATACTTTTTATGCATCTTTTCCTCTCTCTCTTTATTGGACTGTTTACATATACCTTGTTGATATTGTTCTACATACCTCTGAGGTACTTCATGTTTCCTCCTTTTTTTCTCTGCACTTAGATTGAATCATTTATATTGATCTGTCTCCAAGATATTTAATTGGTAGAATTAATATAGTTAAAATAGCCATACTGCCCAAGCAGTCTACAGATTTAATGTGATACCTATCAAATTACCCATGACATTTTTCACAGAACTAGAACAAATAATCCTAAAATTTATATGGAACTACAAAAGTCTCAGGCTTACCAAAGCAATCCTAAGGAAAAAGGAACAAAGCTGGAGGTATAACCCTTTTAGACTTCAGATAGTATTTCAGAGCTACAGTAATCAAAACAGTGTGTTATATTCTTTTATTCACCTTTATCAGTAAACATTTCAGTTCTAGAATATTCTT